ACTTCGGCTACTGAACACTTTCTCGTCACTTGGGAACCCTGAACCTCCCTACCACCTATCGCTGTCCTACGTAAACATCCGTGATTATGTCCTTGAGAAGTGTTCAGCCTGGCCACGACACTTAAGAGCGAATTGACCACTCCAATTGTTCATGAACTGTTTGTTTTCCACGAAGCGGAACTATGCTGAAAACCCACCCGACCAACATTCTCACACTTCCCTTCGCAACGGTTTCCACATGAGCTCAGCTCCTCGTTGGCACCGCATCCTGGAATGTTCGCCATAATTTTGTTAAAGTTATGCCCTGTGTACGCACAATTTGTTGAGCAAAAATTTAGTGACTGCAGAACAAGAAGTAAAGAAAAAGCTGATGTAAACGAACTTGTTGAAGGACAGCTGTTGGCACTCACGCAACTTCCAGCAGCATTTCTGTAAAAGCCGTTCCTGCACGCACAAGCTGGCGGATCGCATATTGCAGGGCACACGATGGGACCCTGGAGTTTTGTGACATTAGTGTCACTCCGACCGTGACCTCATGAGAATACTAGTAGTTAGCGGAATGCAATCTATATCAGAGCATATTTTTGCTGTTGCTATAGACTCTGCATATATTTTATCAGTCTGGCTTTGAACAGCGCCTCAAGGACCCTTAGTAAAATTGAAAAAATAGCCGGAGTCTTTCATTTCAAACACGCCAGCCTGTCTACATTTACGCGATCGCGAGACCAACTAAATTGCCACCTAGCGCACTATGCAGCAAGTATCACGACCATCGGTTCGAAGGAGGAGCTTCTCGATAAAATGCAGAAACGACTTTTGAAGTTCCGAGGAACCAGAGCGTTCTCAGCAAGAAGAAGAATTTCTAACATGCTCAACACCAACTTTTCGACAGAAGCTCATCTCTTAATCTCCACTAAGATCATCATTGACTAGATTCAACAAGTGACGCCGTTTCGCTCGAACTTAATAGTACGTGTACCTACTCATTCCTATCGTTCGAAATCCTGAGCGACTTAGCCGAAAAGGAGAGCAGAAAGAAGTTGTTTGTCATGAAGAGCTCACAACAAGGCTCTCAAAGTAGTTCTTGAGAAGCTGATGCAATGTCAGCCCTAAGTTCAGCTCTACAGTTCCTCATGCCTTTATCAACCCTCAAGCAAACTATACACTGTGCATGTGTCATAGGCGGCGCTAGCCAACATGCAGGTAAGGCAGGTGTCAAAGTTGCTGTAGCCAGTCGCGCGATTCGCGCGAATTGCGCGACGGATCACAAAATACTGCAAGGTCCTCCCCGTTCCGCCTTTTTGCTTGACGGTGATGTTGGCACGGGTCGTGGTCTCTGAAACCAGCCTAGCCTTTGGACCAGAGTGACCACCGATTGGATCCCCAAATACATATTCTCCGCACCAGATCCAGCGATCAAACATTTCTTTGCGTAATCCCGAAAGAAACAGTACCCTCCATATTCCCCCCCCCCCCGCACCAGAAAACTTACTTGAACACTCTGTCACGACACAGATAAATGGAAATGTTGCAAGCCTTACCAGGGAATGCTTCTAACTTCGTGTTTTGGATGGAGACCCAGGCAAATCGGTAGAGTACTGAATACTATTCACATATGTAGACCAAAACTGCTACGCGACCTTTCTAGGCAAGTTGTGAGCGGTCAAAGTTGGCAAGAAATGCAGTAAAAAAGTGAGTTGCGGCACCAAACTGGCGCCAGATCGCCTCTGTCTCAAAAATGAATGTCATATTCGTGACCAGGCCATCTGTTTACCCCTATAGGTACTGTTTCAGGAAAAACTAAAAACGCCGATGCGGTTAGATTAGCTCGCCTCCTATACTGACGCTACCCTTCCTGTCAACTTTGACCGCCCACGATTTGCTTGGAATGTTCACGTAGCAGTTTTGGTCTCAATATTTGTAACTAGCATTCATTACTCTATTGATTCATCCTAGTCTCCATTCATAATTCCATGGGAAGTTGAAAGCATTTCCTGCTTAGAGCGAAGAAATCGTTGATCATCGACCAGCAAGTGTAATACAAGAAATCGCGAGTACTCCCATGTTCTGTTATGTCAGTTTAGTGGAACCTTGCTGTTCATCGAGTCGAAAGGTGAAAACCGCGTACCTGCCCAAGATTTTGGCATTTCGCTTCGCAACGATTTCCACACTGGTTCAGTTCTTCGTTATTGCCGCATGCTGAAAGTGACTTATATAGTTGTTGAACGACAGTTCGAATCATTTACCAGCTGCACTCCCTCACTAACGCGTGCAACATTGAACAGGACAACTGAAACCTCTTGCTTGAACCACACCCTTCCTGGGTATTCTCTGAAAATTGGCTTTTGTTTTCTCCCATTCGCTGGTATCCCGCTTCCTTCTTGGGTTCCAGGCCCTCTTTTAACCATTTTGGGGATTTTGGATTTTACCACCAAACATACATCTTGCACGCCTTCTCGATAACGCTTAACCTCTCCGTCTTTGTTAGACTGAGACTTATTCTTTTCACCGGGTTCTAGCAGTCTCGAAATCGAGTTCTCAGTATTTTTGCAAACCCTACCCTATTAGCTGGACGTCCCACCCACCAATAGCAGTTGTTTCTTCCTTCTGTAACCGCAAGCCCCTCCTTTCCAGTCCTGGGAATTTCTCTGGGAATACTAAATAACAATTCCAAATGGCCTGTGGTTTAATTCCCACAAAGGACAAATTTTCAAAAATTTCTCTGATTTCCACTTTCTTGGGCTCATATATGTCTAAACTTATTCAGTGAACAAAAAGCTTCCAAAATGCAACTATTCAACTCTACAAATGCTGTAGAGTTTATTAAAAATGGAAAAGTTTCACTTCTTAAGGAAATTTTCTGCCTTTTTTTCTGGCAATCCCAGGGCCGCTCAGAAAAAAATCAACATTTCCATGCCCACGTACGTGCCCACAGCACGCAACAATACCGTTTTGAAAAAACGCTTCATGTTTTGGAAGATTCTCCTGATTAGTGCCAAGGATGACTGCTGTCAAAATGCCTTCGTGTTGTGAGGTATTCTGCTTTGAATGCGTATCCTATAACTTTCCCATGGAACGCGTTACCAATCAAAGCATGGCCTTTGCTGGTATGATGGTGGCTATCGGTTTAACATGTGCAAAGACCTCTATTGGTTGCTAGCTCGTCCATTATCGGAGGTCAACGGGCAGAGAAAGAGGTCCCATTTTGCGCGTTCTCTGAGGCATTATTCAGAAGTCTAGCTTCCACCATGAACCCAGTCCAATCTTATCGCAGTCCCTCGCTTCTATCAATCGCAGCAAGAAATTTAAGAAAAAAAAACAGAACAAAAATTAGTCAAATACTGAACCAACTTGAAGGGCAGTTGTTGGCGCTTACGCATCTCCCATTTGCAATTCTGTAGAATCCCTCCCTGCAGGCGCAAGCCCCCGGCGCACATATCCTAGGACATGGTGCAGGACCCTAAAGATTGTGCAGTGAGGCAGATTAATGATAAAGCCCGTACATTTCTTGAACATAAAAAACTCTTTATTATAAAATAAAATTGATCGAATGTGCATAAGATACAATCCGACGATGTAGACCTTTGATCTGCGGAACATAAAGCTTTGTGTAACGCTAATTTCTTATCTGTAACTTTCAATCACATAAATTCGGAGCTTGAAACCCTTCGCACAACTGCTACACCAGCTTAATATACAGGGGGAGGCAAGAGCAATAAGGAGGTATCTTCTTTCCACATTCAAAACTGATCTAATCACTTTTTCCTGACTTAAATGCAAAGGTCATGCCCAGCCTCATTAATCCAGGTCCCACCTGCGGGGAATTGCTACCACAACCACTGCGAGAGGCGCACCTAGTCACCTCGAAACGCCTTCACTAAGGCGTACTGGTGCTCACGATTTCGATCCGCCGAACGTTAAGGTTCCCATTCCTAAGCTCGACCCGCGCACTGATATCTTTACTGTGTCCTTAGTATTCTGCGCTCAGGCATTCTTTCACCGCCCCTCCACGTCAACGACACACATCACCTCTTTCTTCGTTGTCTGCCTTTCATCTTCTCCGCAGCGTAGAGTAGGTATTTCATATTCTTACATGTTTCTGAGAATATTTCTCCTTCTTCCTTAATTTGCAGTCCACCTCGCATCCTTACCTTTGTATTCGAGTAAAATTATTACCACATCGAGTTGAACCTAACCATTGCCTTGAGCACGATGCTTTCAGGTGATAATTGAAGAGCACATTCGATACCGTCAGACGCTTTCATAATATCTTTCCGCACAGGGGACAGCAAGATAAATTACCACGGAACGTAGTGTAGGTCCACGAGTTTGAACAGGTCCTTGACGGAGTTGCGTGAACCATACGCAAGTCCGCCCGCATGCTAGTGCGCGAGGCCAGCAATACTTCTGAGCTACTCTAGATAACTCCACCTTTGAACTCATTGAAGGATTGTGTAACAGCTTAAGATTGAAGCAATTCCATAAAATCACATTTAGCTCTACTGCGACAACGGGCGATTTCATCATTAAAAAATAAGTTTACGAAGAAAAGGCAGCTTGTTAGAAATCAAGGTAACATGGCCTCCTTCACTATGGAATCTGAAAAATACCAACGTGCCTGCCCAACATTTGTGCATTTTCCTTCGCAGAGGTTTCCGCATGAGTTGTATGTTTCGTTAGCGCTGCAACCTGAAAAGTTCTTGAATAGGATTCTTTCAACAGTACCGCCTAATTTCATATTTTTTCGAAGAATGCACTGCAATGAGCAATGATTTACCTGCACTCGAATATGACTTCTTTTCTAATATTCCACCATTTGGCTTGTGAAATCATGTGATTGTTTTTTTTTTCAAATTCGGTTTTTCTCTTCCAAAGATTTCAACGGTTGGCCACTATTTAATCAAGGAACGATACACTCACGTTGTGCACATTGCGATGCTGTCACACAGTTGTTGTTGGCGTCCCTGTAGAAACCGGCGGCACAAGCGCAGGCAGGTGGGAGGCAAATGAGTGGACAAGGTACTGGTCCCTGGAAATTTTTTTCATTCACTCTACGCATACCTTACTGTGTGGGCGACAAACTAACCCTGTTCACGTCCTCACATTTTCCTTCACATAGAGCCCCGCATCCATTCAGCACTTCATTGCTTCTACATGCTGAAACTAGCCAACCATTTCCATGGAAGACAACGGTTACCGAAGGAGTGTAGAAATTGTTGCATTCGCCATGATATCAAAGACTATCGTCGAGCACGCTCTGTGCTTTCATGTCATGGCTCGGTCAGAGCGGTTACTGATTGCCTCATTAGAAAAACCAAGCATAGAAGAAGGACTCACGGATTGCTCTACCTGCCGTCATGAAGATGGGGATAGAATGGGGCGGAAACGCCTCAGAATAGCACGCACTATATGAACTCGCACAAAAAATCCTCTGTTGTTTTGCGCGTGCATTACTTCTTTTCTACTTTCTGTATTTGTTCTATAATGAGTGGACAGTGTACAGGCCCCTAGAATTTTTTTATACACTTCATGTATTCCACACTGTGTGGGCGGCAAACTAACCCTGTTCAGAGTCCATAATGGGGTGTGAATGGCAAGATTAACCGAATGATCAGAAACAAGTTTTCTTATCCTTTTTTCCAAATCTAACAGAATAGTTGCTTCGCTTGATTTCCGTTCCCTCTATATTCCCGTGAACATGTGCAGGAAAAAGTGGTAGAAGTATAAGATATATATTTTATGTTTTTAACGTAACAACCGATTCAGGATTAGGGGGTGAGGCATAGATATGGTGACAGGATTGTACCATAGCAAATGCATTTACTAGACAATGAGCAGAGCTCATGATGCTCAGCAGAGCTCAGCTCAGATTCGCCAATGCCCTGTATATAATTCTATGGTTTCATGGTTTCGCGATCCTTATTTGGTGAATGGCCTCAGTTGATGTGAAACTAGTGGGATTTCTAGTCTTACGCGTTGCCGGGTGGATTGTTTCCGAGATTGCCGTGTCTGAAGGATGCATCGCCAGACCGTCGTACGACTCTCTATTGCAATAACAGAATTTCTCATAGAGCTCGATTAGCTATGGGATCCAAAAGTGGCTGAAAATATTGTCAACCAGCGCATCCACCATGGCAAGGTGAGGACCACGACAGAATTGGCTACACCTTTGAAGAGATCAGGATAAATGTTGTGAAGAGCTGTGCAAAGTAAGCATGGAAAACGAGCTTATAATTACATAAGCTATAAGATCCTTCAGATAGACAAAGGAAGAGCAGAGGTAAAACTCTTGACAGCTTGGAGTGCGGGCCACGAAAGGCCTCCGAATGCACGTCGACGAGGAAACTTTTTATATTTTTCATGGACCGTCAGCCTTCAAGAAAATTCAGAAATGGTTACTAGAAGTTCCTAAGAAAATAGCAGAGCAAGAACAGCGGAAATCAAATATGACCTCCCAGCTAAGCGATGAAGAACCTGACTGACAGCGAATTCTTCTTTAGTTGGTCCTCGCCCGTGTGGGATTAAAAAATCTTGGATCAAATGGTATTCGAGATAGCATTTCGGAGAGAGCTCTCGTCACCTAAACATAACGATTTGATTCACTAGCAAGGCTGTATGCCGGCTCATGGATTGAATTTAGTGAAAGTCGGCTGCATAAGTCCGACTTTGGGCTGCACAAATGTTGGTTAAGCCAAAACCCCCGAGTTGAACGTAGCGTATTATTTGATGTTGTCGATATCAAAACTCAAGAAGTGCGCGAAGCAACACATTTTGACTGGATCGCTTAATCTTGGGAAGTTTCCACAATGAGTACAATTTTTTGATACTTAGCATCTTTGTCAGGCCTGTAGTAGCTTTTCTCACAGAAGCCGGACAATATAGGGACGCAACTGAATAATTGTTGGCCTTGTTGCAATGGCACAAAATGGTTTTCCTCACTTTTCATTTTGACGAGGATGAATTAAGATTTACTCAAGGCTACTCTGGAGTGCAATATCTTTCAATTCGACCAAAAATGTTATGCTCAACATCGCGGTTGGCAATGGGATTAAGAATAGCTCCACTGCTAGCAATTGTATATTTGGACCATTTGGAACAAAGGTCGTTAACCGCTGGAATAATTTTCTACAAGAGGTACATAGACGACGTATTCATAGTCGGCTCCTCTTCTAATGAACTGGAAGAAACACTTAACAATTTAATTCACAAGATCCCAATATCAGTTTACTGTAGAAAATCCAAATGTGGAGGTTTGTTCCATTCCTAAATACAAAGGTCCGAATAAGAAATGGGGCTACAGAATTAGTTTGGTATAAGAAACCAGCATCAAAAAATGTGTTGCTGCACGCTAGAAGCTGCCATCCTACATACATGAAAGCCAACATAGTACGGAACCTAATCACCACCAAGGAGAAAATTTGTACCCAACAATCGGATGAAGTAGGTTCGATGATTGGCAATATTCTTGCGGGAGAATGGCCGCGTAAAGGCACCAATATACACCACACCACGGAATCTTGAACGCCTACTTACATACTCGAGGCTCCACGAGGAAACTGCGGCAGGGAGCATTGTCGCTACTGAATTGACACTAAAATACATCAGCTCAGGATGTCAGTTTACTTGGTAACGTCAGGCATGTGGACTGTCGGAGAAACAGAGACCTTCATGAAAGGAAAGACGAGCACCGCAGGGCGCTTAGAAATCCATCAGCTTATCCTAATAGCAGTTTCTCCAGACATCGTACAAAAGAACATGCACAAGAAGAACCCCTCACACTAGTAATTAAAGTGCTACACCTGCTTAACAGAGAGCACAACAGGAAGGGCAAAAATGGAAGCGTTTGTTGAAGCTTTGTGTAATAAATTTTGAGCCTCAAACTGTTGTTCAACATTTAGATCCTTATGAGGCTTCGAGGCAGCACCATACTAAACTACACCTGAATCAGTGTCTGATGAACCACCTGAATGCTTCAAGCAACAGCCCCAGCAGCGTTTCGAGTATTCGATTCATTCAATCTAAGGAGTCGAAAGATTCACTAGCCATAGTCAAGTATGTAGGGAGTGTCACTGATTCGAAAATTCACCTTCGAAAGTCGCTGGAAGAGGTCTAACGCCTCCGAGATGAGAGGCAACCGGGTCCGGCTTCGACGCTCATTTGCAGCCATGGAGGATGCGTGATGGAGATGCTTGCGCGATTGCTTGTAACTATCCCGCGTTTCGAAATTGATGCTGCGTCTTTTGACTGGTTTTACTTGTTTACTCAATTATTGTATCTTTTTGTTTGTACTGATGCATATGTCTCTGTTTGTATTAGGGCAAATGCGATTGCAGCCGCATTTCTTGCTGGCACGAGCCAGCAAAAATGCAAGCTAATTCAGACAACTCGTCCAACCATCCGTCCCTCCATTTCGAAGGGAAGGAGGTGGAGCCTTCGTTTAAAGGTTTCGCTAGCATTTTTCTTCATGTTCTTTCTATTAACAGTCAAATCGTATTGCGTTATCATTCAAAGGATGATGTTGATGAAATGATATCGGCTATCGGGATCAACACGTGCACGATCCCGTCCTGATCGCTGGCTTACCCAAAGTGAAATTCAAATTAGGGGGTCCCATTTCCCAGGTCGTAGGTCATTTTCTTTTTTACTTCCAGCACTGTACGCTTGAACTGTTATTTACAACATCAGCTCGCCATCTGCAACTTCATTGCTGACCGTTTTTACACCGCGAATTCAATTCGGGATTGTTGCTTCAATCTTGTAATGACTGACCTGGTGGGCTGGTGCCTGCTAGATTGGCTGGAACGAAGCTGTTGACGACCATGTCTCCAGTTTGCTCTAATGGCGTAACTAAATTTCATTCTCGTTTTACAAATTGACGCAAAAAAGAGTTAGTGTGAGTCTACTTTGAGGTCCTTGGTTCTTGCACTTCGGCTCCGCGTAACATGCCTTGTCTTGGATACATTCTGTTTCAGCATACTCGCACGCAGTTCCGGATGGACAGTTTTTCTGATCGCAGTTATTCCCTGAAAATGACTTGACTAAAGTTGACTTAAAGTTGCATGTTTGCCGGTTCTATAATGTCTGAGCATTGTATTACTACCACGTAGTACAACGCGTTATTGAGAGGGTGTCCCGCCTGAGGCCGGGCGGCTCTCGATTTCATTTATCTTTGTACTATTCCAAATTTTGAGCGGTGCTATATTAACCCGGAATACGTTGTCAAACTTGTAATGGCCACGTTCTTTGAACATCTTTCACAGTGAAAGTTTTACAGAAGGGTTGCTTGGAATTGCTTCTTCAGTGATAAGGTTGTTCTTTCTTGATGTAGAAAGCTGACTTTTTGTATGCTATTAGCTAGCCCAATGATACAACAATTGGCAAAAAAGAGATTTGTGTTCAACCTCGTTTGTGGATTCTGCAGCGGAATGGATTTTGCCGAGAGCGTTCCGAAGTTTCACCTTGCGGGACGGGGAGATTTTTGCTTGGTTTGCAGCCATTAAGCATTTGTACGAGACAAATGATGTTTCAGCAGTTTCCGCATTGTGTTCTCATTGATTTGGTATGTACACCGTATGGAAGCGTTTCAGCATTAGGACGCAATTTTCGGGAACACCCAAAAACTGCTTGGTCGCCAATGTGTTAAATTACTGCTGGCTTATAGTTGGTCTAAGGAGCAGGACTG